CTGTTCATACATCACTGTTCACGCACTATGCTTTAATCTCTTTTAATAGGAAGTCCTAATATTATTTTGGACATATTTTGAATTTGTTTGACATGTATATGTGTTAGTGATTATGGAGTAAGTAGACCTAAGCTTAAATTTTGAGGTATTCAGTGGACCCTTCGGGGTATTTAGTGGATCTCTGCGTAGTAGGGTTAATACTGTGATTAGCTTCAATACAGTGTTGCTAGCACATCTCAGTGGACTCCATAGCATTGCGTGATTTTCGATTGTATGCATTGCGCTTGTGACATCGTATTTGTGAGCATATGATTTTAGTAAATGGATTTAATTTAAATGTCAGTGATTATTCCTTGACATTGTGAGTATGATTTGAGAATTATAATATTATGTGATTTAGTTTCGTTGTATCTCATGCTCTTTGTGTGTATAGGTTTAAGGGTTTTATGACTCAAGTTTATAGTTTAAATTTATTACTTACTGGGCTATTAGCTCATAAAATCCCATCCATTTCATATCAGTAGATCAAGGTAGCAGCCTCCCGGTTTAGGAGCTTTTGGCACGGGACTCACATGCTCGTTATATGTACAAGATAGAGCCTCATGTTTTCGATAGGGAGGCAAATTGATATGTTACCAAACCAATTACTCAGTTTTTGTCTTTTGAAAAGTTTTGGAAAAGAATTTGTCTCATATAATTTTTGTGTAAATTACATTTATGTGTATAAAATCTTTAAATTAATTACAAATGAGATTAGTTTAGCTTATTTTATAACTTTGAATATTTTGGTATTTTTCCAATCTATATTGATTTGTTAAAATGATTTTTCTTTACAGGTATCTATAATCTTCTCTTTTCAAAATGTAAATTGATTTTTTTTTAATAGAAGCTTTATTTTGAAGAAACATTTTATATTAGAAGTGTTTTTACTTCCGCTATAATTATTTACTATAAATCTTGTTTCTAAACTCTTCTATGACTAAAAGTGCTTAGTGAGGTGTGTTATAGTAATTTTATAAATACTTTAATTTTTAAAGACTTTATAATGGGTTAAAAAATTATAAGTTGAGCAATGGCAATTAACGTAATTTTTGTAAAATTTTTATCTATTTTGTAAATATATCCTGCTTTACTTCTTTTTCCATTTGTATGGAAATTTCTTTCAGTTTTTTTTTATTAGAGGCTATTTTTTTATAATTATATTTTACTTTATATATTTGTGTTAATTTTTTTGCAATTTGATCTTAAGATAAGTCTAAAATAATTTTAAAAAAAATTTTCTATCCAAAAAATTTTTTAAAAAAAAATTAACATGACTTTTTGACAAAGAAAAAAAAAAGGTTGGAGTAATTGATAACGTCGGTCTGATCCACTTTGCTCGAATTTTTATTCATCGCACCACTAACAAGGGGAATTTAAGCTAATTACTCTGTTTTAACGAAATGAAGAACTTTATATGTGTAGAAAGCAAACTTAAACTGTCCTAAAATACTGGGTCCTATTGACTGAAACTAATCCCTTAAAATAGCTAAAACTAACTTCTTTAAATAATACCAACTTAATTTTAACAACTTAAAGCAATTAATACAGAAATCAACAAACGATTGTGTGGAAAAAAAAAGATGGCAAGTTTAATTCTGTTCAGAATCCCCAACCTTCCGAAACTTGCTGCGATCTCTAGGAACCCTAGGGTTGTTTTGACTGCCCCACCAAGATTGATTCAGGTATGTATGTGTATAAAGTTTGGTCATCGGTGAATTATGTGTACGTAAGTATATATTTTTTTAATGAACATATGCACGCATGAATGATAATAAATAGGCAAGTTATTCTCACCAAAAGGCTTCAGAAGCATGTGAAAACGCAAAAGATGCAGCTAAACAAGGAGCTGGTGAAGCAATGAAGGTTGGTCAAGACATTAAAGAAAAGACTGCCTCAACTGCTTCCCAAATGAGCATGAAGACGAAAGATATGGCCGGGAAGGCGTCAGATACGGCACAGGAAATGACATCCAAAGCAAAGCAGACAATGCAGGATGCTTGGGATTCTGCTAAGGAAAGTGCTCAAAAGGCCAAAGATACTGTCATGGGAAAAGCAGAGGACTCGAAGGAGGCCATCAAACAAAATGCTGATCAAGTCAAGCGAAGCATGAACTCTAAAAACTGACCTTTCTTTATCTCTTTCATCAATAATGCCAGATGCATGTGCACATCATCATCATCATCATCGTCGTCATCATCGTTATTATTATTATTGTTGGCCACAAGTGCACAAATATTATTTCTTGTTTTCGAGAAAATGAATGAAATCTACCTGAAATTTTTTATTTTTTGGCCAACAATCTACTTAGAAATTAAACACTACTATTATTTGTTGTTTTTGAGAAAATGTAAGACCTTTTGCCTGTCAATTCTAAAAGTACCATTTTTATTTTCCAAAATGACGTCATTTTCATTGTTTTAGTAATATTTTATCCCATTATATTATAAAAATTATTAAAATTTTTAATAATTCTTCAATAAATTCTCTCAAAATCTCAAATAAATATTCAATCAACCCGTAAAGACAACTTATTGATGAAAGGGTTGAGGAGCAATTAAAATAAATTAATATCCTTTCAAGTTTCTTAATTAACATAATATACATAATTATTTATTAAATTAATCCTTCTAATAGTAATACTCCAATTATATCCAACTTATTCTTAAATTTCTGTATATATATATAAAAAAATTCTTCTTACTAGCTTATTATTTTGTTCTCATCTTCAATTAGCAATTTTAACTTTAACATACTTAATTTTTATTTCAAGATAATTAAATTTAATTGTCAATTTTTCTCTGAGACCATTTAATATACTTATTTTTATTCTATCATTATTTAAAAAAATAATTATGATATATATTAAATAAGAAGGATTCTTTAAGTAGTAATTACTTAGAAAAAAAATAACCAACAAGAATTGAATTGATATTCAATAAGTTAACTTAAAAATCTTGATTTGGAGTTAGATTAGAAATTCAAGTTTCTATAAAGTTAAATAGCTAACTCTTTGATATACCAAAAAAAAATAAAGATAAATATGAAGTTTTATCAATTATTTATTACATATTTATGTTAGGAAATAATGCTAATTCATTTTCTCTCTTAAAAATTAAGAGAAAAATCACTTTAAAACTAAGTTGTTTCAATAAATTTCAATAAAAAAAACTAAAATATCTTTTTTTTAAAACAAGGTTAAACTAACTTTTGCCTTTCACATGGTATTTTATTGAAACAATATAATTTTTAAAAAATAAGTTGGATAGGTACTAATTCCTTTATTTACTTCAAAAACTAAATTTACTAAAGTTAAACTAAGAAATTATTATATACCTATTTTATTGGAGAAAAAAAGCCAATTAAAATTACACAAAGGGTGTAATACAAAAATGTATTATGCAATTTGAATTATATCATATTACATAAATTATTAAATAGATGACAACTCCAAAATGCATAATAACAATAATAACAATAACAATAATAATAACAATAATAACAATAATAACAACAACAATAATAATAATAAAAACAATAATAACAATAATAATAACAATAACAACAACAACAATAATAATAATAATAATAATTGAGCAATCAAGTCCCGAAAAATTGAAACTTCAAACGCTTTACAGGCGTCCAAGCTAACACATTATGTATTTTTTGACCAAGAGCCAACACATTATTTTGTTTACATTGAATGCTTTACAAGGACAACTATATGAATATATGTAACAATATCCTCATTCTTATTTACCAAAAAAACATCCTCATTCTTGATATAACTGGAATATAAATCCGATCCATTATTTCTTTTCTAGGATCTACAATAAATCAATATTGACCAAAATTTATGTATTCAAATGGAACAATGAACCTATGCTTTTCCTTTTCTCTTCTCATCCAAGGCCTGCAAATACATGATTACAAACAGAAATGCCAGAATTTTACTAATTACTAGTAAATCATATATAACATGCCATTTCCAAACCATGGAATAGACCAAAAATCGTTTTAGTTTCCATTCTCATAAAAAATATATATAGTTAAAGGGTGACATATAAACAAAAAGGTTGAACACCTTTTTATTTTTGTGAAACACGGCTGTATTCCTTACATTCTTCAATTCTGTACATTAAATATTCATAACTAAACAAAGAATATTTCAAGGGTTACGAATTGCATAATATTGTAAACAAAACAATATGGATGTTGTCACAACCTAAAGTGATGCCGCACTAAATTGTTGCATTTTACTTTCATATCCCTTTACGAGTTTCTTGAAACATCATTTTCACTTAATAATTCTTTTCAATATAAAAGTTACTAAGAGGAATGATTCCATGAATATAAAATAGAAAATTTCTCAATTTCAAAGGTCAACATTCCCAAAAAATTTTAACCTAAACTGCTAGACTTTTAGCGTGTTAAGCATATGTTCTTCAGAATGCAAGGGGAAAGTGAAATTTTCACTTAAACCTTAGAGGGGGTTTGGTAATTTTCTGTTAATTTGTAATTCCTAACTTACTTTTCTGGTCAATTGACTAAATTCATCATCACCAATTTTGCTAGCACCCTAATCTCATCTTTTACTTATTTCAAACGTGGCTGACTTGTATGAACCAAAGATTACATATGAAAGTAGATAACTGAAAAAATAGAGTAAGATCTGATGATGATTCCATAGGGATGGTATAACAGCGAAAAACCATTAAGAATCTCAGCTTTTAAAATTCAACTTCTAAGCAACTAAAATTCTTATGCTTCTACAAAATTTCCTGGAAGGACCAGTTGGTTTCCTAGCAATGAAACTCCCAACCAAATTGAGAAGAGATGAAATCCAATGCACGCATGAGTGATGACATCTTTTTCTTTTTAGTCAATCACGATTGATTATCTTTAGAAACTACAACATCATAGCAACAACTAGCAAACGGTGCATGAATTACAAAGTCAGTAAACATACCTTCCTCTGGAATGTTCTCAAGGTCAAAACGAGAGCATCACGGTTTCTACAGAAGAATGCAAATGGTATTAGACGGTGGTATTATTTTTTAATGGTTTTATGCTTTTTCAGATAGAGGAAAATTTTGAGAATAAAATGAGGAATAACAAGATTGAATCTAGAATTCCCTAATTTTGACACAACTCTAACCAAATGCTTCAACGTTCTATCTTGTATTAGAAGCTACTGTACCACAACTCAAACAGTCCTTTTTCATTGGAAATGGAATGGAAGTGCTCAGCTAATAAAGGTGTGCGCTCTATCATGTATTAGAAACTAATAGTGCTCCATTGCTCCATCTCAGATCGTCCCCTTTTTTCATATTTCTCTTTTAGCTACTTTAGATACTCATAGTCTAACAACATAATCCTTCATTAGTTGAACAACATATCAATAATTTATCACTATAATAATTAGATAATTGGTCTTCCAGATTTTTTTTTTTCTTACTAAAGAAAGAGGAAATAGGCTTGTTCCTAACTCATAATGAGTCCTATCTAAGATTTCAGATGCCAACAGGATGAAAACAAACTTATACATCTCTTTCGCTCACAATTTTTTGAAAAGTAGAAGCGGCACCAATGGAAATGAGCAACATACTATAAGCCTCAAGTGCTTGCCTATTTGTGACCAAAATTTTACATCAATTTATTAGGAAATAGAAAGTAATTGTATATTAATTTAATGAACAAGTATCAAACATCAAGGAAATGAATAAATTACCTAACATGGTTTGTGCTAAAAGCATATGAAGATCCACCAGAACATGTCACTACAAATTGTGTGGAGAGTCCTCCAGGTATCTTAATCTGCAACAACAGCAAAAAGAAAATTTGTCTAACCATATAAAAAATTGAAAACTTTCAATTAAAAATTCAAGTCTTTTACACAATCCTACAGGTTAATCCACAGACCTTTTGGTTGATGATCATTTAGCCCTGGATATCAGATAAAAATTACTAAAAAAATGTTCACTTTAAAAATGAAAAATATGATTCTCCCTTCCATTTTTGTTAAACACCTTGAAAATGTACAGATACCCCTTTTACTTTGCTTTCCATGTTTAGTCTTCATGATTTGAAAAGGTAAAGTTTCTTCTTCCTTTTTAAGAACTTTTTCAAACAACTTACAACATAGAATCAAACAAATCATTACTTATTGACTTTTCCAAGAGAATTAATTTTCTAGCTGCCTCAAATAATAAGAGAGGGAATAAATAACCTCAAGTTAGAAACTATGTGCTTGTAATAAGAAATCTAAAGCACTAGATTATTTAAACATAACATAACCATTTAATACTGAAAAACAATACCCCATAAAAAAACTAGAAAACAGATAAAAACATTGAGTACATAAATTAATATAAATACCTTGCAAAGCATGGTTAATGGTGAAACAAGTATACACACAAGAGGTAGCATATCACCGATGCATTAAAGAATTCAAGCAATAAAAGCAAACTGCTTAGAGAGAAAGGGAAAAAGAAAATAACTAACAAGAATAGAGAAAATGCACCTTACTTTATAAAGACAATGATTGCAACAGTCAGTTAGAATTTAAGTGTATACCGTTAATTCCTTTGAATATTTCTCCTGAACAACCACAGCTTCCCCGACTTTAACTTGGAAACCTGACCGTCTCAAAATCATCTCTGCTTGCTCCCAATTCTCAGGAAAGTAATCAATCTATTGAGACGAGGACAAAATTGAGTCCCATTATATTCCAAGTATAGAAAGAAGGTTGGAGTACACTTTTTATTACAGTAGATGAAGGTAGATTTTATTATTCAAAACATTATTGATATTATTAGATGCTTGCTAAAAGAAACATTGTTGCCTTCCTAGATTACCTATTCTCCTTCTAATATTTATTTGACATTGACCTGTAGATTTTAAAGAATATATTGTATTGCTTGTATCAAAAGAAGCAGCTTATCCCTAAATCTTATTGGAGCATCAGCAACCTCTTCTTGGATCTTCCTTACTTTTCTAAATATCTTCCTGTCATTCCAAATTCCTACAACTAGGGATGGGAATTTGGTTAACCAAACCATAATTTTTGGAATAGTATGTGTTCCAAAAGCCACTATTAACCTCACCTTGCACTGCACACTAGGGCTTCTAGTGACCTCTCCTGGGTTGCACACAAGCTATGATCACAACAACCTCCCTCAGTTTGCGCATCAACTGGGTTTACAACAACTCCCCCAGGGTTATGCACACAAATGGGGTCTAGATTCTGATACCATGTAAATAGCCAATTGGCAATAGTGAAGTAGTTCATATTGTATCTAAGTTCACATGTTTCCCTTTAATTCACCAATATGGGATTTTCTCATGCAACAAATTAAAACACATATTATTGATCATTCATCCTTGGATTGATGGTACATAAACAAGAGGCGATGGGCGGAAATCACTCCAGTCATACATAGGCATTGCTGTAGAATTTCTATCCTTTAGGCACATTGAATCCAAGGAAAAAGTTAGCTTTAGGTTCAATTAAATTGAACATTATTGATCACAATGTTGATAAAAAAAAAAATCTTATGGATCATAATAACTAAGAGATGATCCTAGCCGCCCTCATCCCTTCCCTTCTCTCTTGTTTTCTCTCTCCCTTTGGATAAATAAAGGTGGGATTGTTGTCTCCCTCTTTTTTAGGGTTCTTTCTCAAAAAAGATTTGGCACCCTCGTTTGGGAGTTTTTGCCTAAGCTTTCTTGATGTATCTCATTGGGTTTTGCCCATGGTAGAGAACAAAGATAGTGTGGGTTTGACACTAGGTGGGCTTGTCAACTTTGTTGCTCTCTCCTGAATCTGGCAGTATGGAATGCTTGTAGGGGTAATCATCCATTTCATAGCTCCATACTTGCTCATATGGCACATACTAGTAGTACGTGGCCTTTTGTTCTTAATTGTTCTACTTGTGGCAGGGGCACTACAGTCTCTTTCTAGTGTTGTAGAATAGATTCTTTTGCCTATTTGGCCATTATGGATTCTGATCATAACCTTCCATTATTATTAATGAATGTCATGCTTTTGATTAAAAAAAAATAGAGAGATGATCTGTAAGTTGCAACTGTTTATAGGTTATTTGGAAATCCAGAGACTACAAAATGGATCAGAAGTTTCCACGTATTGCACTGTCAGAGAATTGCTGTTCAGTTGCCAGTGGACATTAGGGTTTAACCTTACCATTTTTATCGAATATGCTTCAATATGAACCTTAGTTCATCATGCCTAAACTTGACCATACGAGTGGATTAACAGTCAGAACTAACCAAATTTGTTGTCCTTCAGGAGTCCAATTCTTATGTACAAGGCAGGTATCTATTTGACCATCTAAAGAAACAATTACCAAACAGCTAACTTTTCTAGTTTTTGCATTTCCAAGAAAGTTGGTCCAGAAAACCTTTTTTCTTTTTTTATCAGCATGGTCCAGAAGAATGTGACTTAATGAGCCACCAGTTGAGACTTGAGAGGACTAGATTAAACTTTATTTAAAAACTTAATGATACTGCTCGGTAACTTTAATTACCTTGCCAAATTTGATTCATGATATTGCAACAACTTCCCTATAAACTAGCATCTTATTTATAGTTTGGGGAAAATATGGGAGAAGATGTAAAATTATTTCCAGTTTTAAAATAAATAGGAAAAATGATTAGAGATAATAACATAAACTTTTACAATAAACAAGAAAACCATTAACCTACCAGTGACACAACACTAAATGTAGCCTGGCCTTTGGATATGTATGTGTCAATCTCCATTTGCATTTCTGGGTCTGCAAAGAGCAAGAGAACTAATGATTATGACTTATGAAAATAGTAAAATGGCTGTCAAATGAATTACAAGCACACATTTAAAAATACGTATGGAAAGTATCCACACATAAAAAACTTTGTGTTGTGCATGTACATATATTGACAATGCACAGCCATTTAAACAAAGCATTTATTATCAAGTTAGTTAATTGCCTTAACAACATCTGCAGTAACCACCCTTGAGTTAGGCACACTAAATAGGCTATTAGTCACTGGGTTCTGATAAACATCCAACCTAAAATTAATTGGCAATAAGTGGAGTGGTCGATATTGTATTTAAGTTTGGAGTAGAGTTTGGAAGGATAAGTTTCTAATTTCAAATCACATTCCAAGAATAAAAGGAAGCAGAAATCAAAATGCCAAAATTAATTGGCAATAAGTGGAGTGGTCCATATTGTATTTAAGTTTGGAGTAGAGTTTGGAAGGATAAGTTTCTAATTTCAAATCACATTCCAAGAATAAAAGGAAGCAGAAATCAAAATGCCAACAACCTTTTAGCTCAACAGGAAACTTATAATCCCCTACCACGTAAACGGTAAACAGCTCATTTGATAGTTGAAGAAAATCATAAACAGATAAATACACAACAATTAATTCTAGTTGGGGAAGTATTAATCAGCACAAGGTCTAACATTCAGCTCACATACACTTACCACATTTTATTTTGTTCTGGTCATTAGCAAAGAGCCTCACTAGCTCCCCCTATAAAAAAGTAAACAATTAGGTGGCAAAAGTAACCAAAAGTTATTCTCATAAACTTAAAACATGAAAGAATTTAGTGCATATTGTCAAAAATATTTATGCTATTATGTCACATAAAATTAGTTAATTTTTGTGCACACTGCAATAGGAAAACTCTTTCCAACACAGGTGTCAATTTGAGGCATATTGGATTTGAATCTGCCAAGTATTCTGCGACATCAACATCTTACTTCCTTTTGGACTTTTTCTTATTTTGATTCTATTTCTATTAAGATTATATTACTTGGGTTGTTACTTGTTTTCCCTTTCCCACTAGGACATTGTTTTTTATTAGATTACTTCTATTAGGATTTTATTATAGGAATACCATATAAAAAGCTGCAAGGCTAAGGCTAATATAGGACAAGTTTCCTATCAATATTATTTAGAATTATTCAAGAGATTTTTCTTCAGTTTTCTGGATGGGTTCCAGAGATATTTTCAAGTTTAAACGCGTTTTAGGCTTGTTAATCATGTTTCATGCTGCGTCATTTTCCCAAAGAATGAGGCTGTTATCACAAGGGAAATATTAATGAAGCTAAAAAGAAGGATAGAGTAAAAATCTGTGAGGTGGAAGGCACATAACATCAGTCTATCTTCCAAACTAGTGATATGGGGGCAAGTGGTGGGAGGCTCTCCTCTCCTCTGCTTTTGAGTTCTAACTTCCAGAATTTGGTTGATGGGAGGATGGAAGGACAACATGCTTAAAACTCCACTCTTGATGGTATAGGTTTTTTTCAATAAAAGAAAGAAAATAAAATCATAAGTTACTAAATTCTTCCCCCCACCCCTTCCCCCTCAAGACATCCTCACATACTATTTATGGATATAAGGTCCCCAACATAACTTTCAATTGGAATGCATAACAGACTGTCACTTATCAAATCTCCAAGAGCTTTAAGTCAAGCATATTGCACTACCCAGAACCATATGAAGTCAAAAGGTACAAGTGTAGGAATCATCGTGTCTAGCAATTCCATTTCTGATTTTTCAACTCCTCAAAATTTTAGTACTAGAAGTTATATTGAATGGTATACAAATGCTATTCAATATTTTAGTTTCCTTTTAGAGAAACTGTCATGCAAGTTTGAGAAAATACATATCAAGCCAAAAGATGATTAATGCACCTGACGACCTCTGTCATCCATCGGAATGCACTCAACAGCGAGCAGTTTATCAACATCATCAGCTGTGACAACATACTCTGGATTTGTGGCTCCTGAATAAAATTCGGAGAGAGAAAGAGATGCAGTGGTTAGCCCGTATACCAACTACTAAGAATAGTACCAGATTAACAATCTTAATTTTATGCTTACCCTCAATGTAATGTCTAGTTCCATCCTCAAGATGACGAACCCACTGATATATAAAAATGCAGTTTTTACATAAAAAAATTAGTTTATCCACACTGTGCTTGGTAGTTGGAAATTCTAATGTGAATGAATTTCACAAAATGTACCTGAAACATACAAAGGGTAGTCCCCCTAACTGGATATCCACACCCCAGAAGCTTTTCTCCTGGCGCAGAATAACCAACAATCTGAAACCCCTCAATGCCAGGGCCTTCTGAATTCCATGACCTCATGTTAGATACTATTAAAGGCTATGTATTTATTTAATTGAGAAAAACCAATCAGCAATCACCTTCATTAGCAGCAGGAGAAATCTCATCATGCAGGGTGAGGGGATGAGACAAGGGATTGTTGGTCATCTCTCCTGCCCTAACCTCCATAATGCCTTTATCAACTGCGCCATTAAAAGGAGGACCCATGCTTTCTCTGAAACAATATGGCCAAACGATAGATACAAAGTAGAAACACATTAAATTGGGTTTGTTGATAGTGGTTAAACAATGTTTGGATTAGAGTAAAAGGACCTAAATGAAACTACTACAATGGATTGTTTTAATATTTTCATTCTCCTTAAATAATGACGATTAACTCATAGCAGTTAAGTTATATACCAATCTTTAGAAGAAATTAAATCATAGCTGATAAGTTAATATTTTCATTCTTCTTAAATAATGAAGAAAAGCAAATCATAACAGATCTATGACAGGCGAAATGCATGTTACACTTGGTTGATTTTAAGGTCTGATATTAGCTATTCCTCCCCATCCAGCAATCCATGAAAAGTATAATTTCTTATCCCAATGTGCTTCTCTTTGTGTGTGAGGGTCTGTGTGCAAGAGCACACAAATGTGGGCTGGCACCACTAAAGAAGTTTTAGGAAGCAAGATAGAGAAAATGGAATGTATAAACAAAAAAGAGAAGAAGTGATAGAGGAAAAAAATAACAAGACAGATCAATAGAAACGGAGAATAAAAGAACAAGGAAAGAGGAAGGCAAAAGAAATTAAAGAATGGAAACACTAGTTGTACCGCTGTTTAATTATTTACTTAAAAATTTTCAGAATTTGGGTTCAAAATCTCATTAGTAACCAGAATGATCAAAAGCTCATTAAAAGAAATTTGACCCCAAAAATCACAGTTTATAAGGAAAAACATGAACTGAATTTACATGATATGCTAGTTTATTGTGTTTTTCCTACAGTTGTACGCTAAATTACAAAGAAAATGAGAATACGAATTGAATTGCAATAACAATTTGTAAATCAAATTAAAAGACAGCTACCACATTTAATAAATTAACTTGATGTCACCATTTTGAAACAAAAGCAAGACAAGTTAAACGATGGTAATGGTAAGCTTAGAAAGATTCAATTTGTCCCACCACAATTATGTCCTCGAAAAAGAAGGGCAATAATGCAGCCATTGAAGAATCCAATTACATTTTTTTTTAGGGGGTGTAATTCTCATTCTAGCAAATAGGATTTTATCTTATGTGTTAAATAGATTTTCATTATCAAAAGGAGAATAAAAATTCCTACCATTTTAATCCTTTGGAGTTATTTACATAGTTTGCTTATGTTTATTCTTAGAAGTCTAGGTTTTATTTCATGAGTCTAAGTTAATTATATAGTTTGTTTCCAACTATTTTAGAATCCTAATATTAGCGGGCTAAGGAATAAGCTAAGGTTCTTTGCACTCATCACTTTTCTTTTTATGGTTTGGACAGTGCCAACCCCAAAACTTGAACCCTAGACTTGACCTACAAAACGACACTTAAATGGATCCACCCTCGGATTTCTTTGTACTCTTCATAATAGAGGAGCATTTTGATTGATGAGGTTATGAGTATTTTGGTTTATTGAGGCGTGAAGCCATATAGTTACCATGTGTTTTCTTCTCTTCAGTTGCTTCTGCTACTGTTCATAATAATTCAATTCACATGTAACACTAAAACCTTGTATACAGAGTTGTAAACCCTAAAATTCTACCTACAACCCATAGAAAAACCTCATTACATAAGGCTTAAGCCCACCACAAGAGATTGTAAAAAAAATTCTCAAAACATTCCTATGGCAGCAAGAGAAAATATTGGCAAAAGATCTTTCAACTTCAATCTGTCGAAATTCTGAAGAGCTTGTGCTCATATATGGCATATATTAGGAGCTTTATATAAAACTCTATAAGAAATAAAAAAACCATCACTACCCCCTTCCTACACTTTCTGCAGAATATAATTAAGCCCTCAAATGTTCTTTTCGCCAATCACCCTTTCAACTAGTCAAATTTGAACAAATAAGCTCAAATTCACTAATATCGCCTCCAAAATGATTCTTTTAACCTTAAGTCTTTAATCAAGAGTTTTAATGATTTAATTTTAAATTTTAAAAATCAAACCAAATTAAAAATATTATTAAAAACACAAAGGAGCACGAGTTGGTGCTCCTATCGAAAAGCACCAAGTGTTGTGCTCTTCTCAAGAGTATTGTTGGTTGATGCCCTTACTAGGGCATCAATTGTTCTCTGGCATGGAAATTCATATTTTTATTTAACTAATTAACAAAATTATTAATTGATTTTGCTTAAGGTTCAATTTATTAATAACCTTTACACTGAATATATAGGTCCAAAAAGTAACTTAAAATTTTGTAACGGTAAATTTTAGGATTGTTATGGTCCATTTATCAAGTTTGAGATTTCAATCTGCCTAAGAAATTTTGAGCCTTAATTGAGAGTTTGGAAAAGTTCAAAGTTTAACAAGCATTCTTTTCTAGCATAAAGGATAAAACTTGCACTCATAGATGTTTCTTATGAAAACAAGTAATTGTAAACACTGCACCAAGAGACAGGCCAACTACAAATTGTTATTTTAGTTTGTGTCATTGGAAGTACAAACTTTTAATAGAAACTTGAAATACGTTCGGAAAGAACTATACATAAAATATACTTTGTATAATATGATGTGTCATTTTGTGATTAATTCTTTTCACTTGGGGACCACAAGTAAATTAATATGCACCCACTGGTTTAGTGCTGCTTCATATTGTAAAAAATATTGTACATATAGCATAGCCAAATATGTTCAGCACATTAGTGACAAAATACCAAGTCTCAATTAAAAATGCAGAAAAGTCTAAACAATACCAACCTATCAAAATTGAACATGAAGTCCTGCTTATTGCCATTACTCAACTGATGGTTTGCCTGACCACTAATTATTGAGCTTCTTGTAACTACAGGATCATTGATATGCATGACATTATGATCATCTGGATGGTGATTATTGGGAGAAAACCCATGCTGTCCCTGCAAAAGAGAATGAGAAAAAAAAAAAAAAAGTAATAATGATACAAGCACGAGATGATGTATTGAAGAAACAAAAGTGAGATGCTACCTTGAAAATCAAGAACCTACTGGAAAAGGGATTTGAATCCCAAAATAAAGGGAGTCCACTCCCACATTAAATCTCACAGCATTCTCTAACAGTATTCTAGTAGATTACTTTGAAATATTACCGTGGATTTATGGCCAAGTTCTGTTTTCAAAATGCCAGAACTAAAGTTCTCCTTGTCAACAGATGCATTTCCAACATTTGCTGCCACCTTGTTTGTTATCTCTCTTATTCTATCCTGTAATAAAAGTAAATCAATGTCTACCACTAACCCCTAAAAAGATGACCCATAAATGATTTGTAAATATTCAAAGGTTAAACATACAATGTAAAGAAGGAACTTCCCGTTACAAGCTAAACAATTCCAACTAAAAGAATCAAAGTGCCATACCAACAAGAGCTTGGTGAAGTTGGTAACCACTAACTTAAAAGCAGTTAACACTCCAATGTACCCAAAAAATATATATATATAAAAGTGTAATATCCATATCCCTTTACACAAAAGAAACAAATTCTTGATCATGGAATATAATATCATCTCATGGAGCCATGTTTCACTATAAGGATATGGGTGTTTTCTCCTTTTTTTAAATTTTTATTGTGTTTTGTTGTGCATGGCCATGGCATGAGAAGCAAGTATCATAAAACCTGTGGCAGTTACACCTGGAGGGTTGGTGGGATCAAGATTCCAAAGTTAATAAAGGATATGAAAGGAAATAAATGTTTAGAAGACATATATTCTTATTCTGCATGCCCTTTGGCCTCTAATTTGAATAATCCAGATTCATGCAAGCCCAATCGGAAGAATTATTTTGAGATTTTGAAACCACCTCTGGCATAAGGTCTAATAGCACTTAGAAGCGTTTTACATTTTTATAAGAGACAACACCTATAATGGAGTGATTCAGATCACATTAATGGCAAGAGACAGAAAGTAAGTTTGGGATGAAAAAGACAAAAGTTAGTCATTGCGTTATAAATTACAGAGTTCCTTAAACCAATTTAGCATACCATTGACTTATCATAAACATCCAACTCAAAACCAATTGTACATTGGTGGATTAGTCCTTTTGTTTTTTTATCAGCAATCAATATTGTATTTAAGTCCACGAGTTTCCCTTTAATTTAATTCACCAATGTGGGATTTTCCCCCTTAACAAATATCAAAAAAAATTTAATGTTTTATGATGTTATTACTGATTGAATGACATGATTTTTGCATTATGCAATTTCCCTATGGTGCTTATAGAAAACAAGTTGAACAATTACTGCTCCATTGCCATGGTATGGTCTCCCAACTTCATGATTTGATTTGAGAACACCCATCTATGGTAGCATCAAAAAATATATTTTGCATGTAGACTAAAATTAAAACAATATAATTCTACTCAGCGTAAGTTGACATCCATTTACAACTGAATTCTCCACATTTAACTACAAAGACTAGATCTAGATAATCTTTATATGAAATGATAATATTTGTTGTTTGGCCTAAAAAACTACAAGACTGTGTCCTTAAGCGAGGTTGACACTTCACATCTAAAAGCTTACAACAAAAAGAAAATCTATAAACTACATTTGTAGGAGTTAGGATTCACTCACACATATCACTTACACAAAATCTTAACCATTCATCTCTTACCATGAATGGTTGAGATTTATCACAACTTTTTCGATGAAAAAGTTTATCTTTAAAAAATAGGATAAAAAGTGGATAAATCTCAACCATTCATAATGAACAGATGAATGGTCAAGATTTTGTGTAAGTGATGTACGTAAGAGTTGTGTGTAAGTGCCAAGTGGATCCCAACTCTAATTTGTATTCAATTCTTTTTTCATGATTGCTATTTTTGATATGAAGCTCAGTCCTTTGTGCATGGATTTGGGTTCAAATATATAAACATTTAAAAACTGGAAGGAAATAATACTGCTGGCATTTCAAACATAGGAAGCTTACATGTGAACTTCTAATCTTCAACTGTAACTGATCATGCAGATGCTGCAAATATTTAGATGAAAGGAAGAAGGTAAGTCTTATTTGAAAAACTATTTACTTAGAAGATAAATGAAACAGCAACTGGCTGCTACAAATATATCAGCTCTAACTAATTTATAGATCTAAAATGAACTTTGTCAATGCTGACAAGTAGACACAAATTCAAGAGTTTAACAAGTTAGTCAACAAGAATGGCTCTGAAAGGAAATAGTAACAAAGTTGCTGCTAATCTCTAATGTTGCCTGGTGTAATGAGACAGCGGAGTACCACTTCAGCTGTGCTCACATCAATAATAATTTTTCTTCGTTAATTCCTGCACATCAATAACTTTTGTTTTTTTTTTGCTAATAGATATACTCATATGATGCAAAAACAAAAAGTACATAATCACTGCTCTCAATTGATGGAACTTTCACACTCCCTAAGATAGCTCTTCAAGATATGTACTCAAACTTTGGTGAAATTTCCATATTTTATCAAAAGAAAATAGAGTCTATTTTGATAGTGGTTCTGTCTGGAATAGTTTACTCTAACACAGAAAGTACTGTATATTCATCACCAAGACCGCTAGGGGCGTTATTTTGTATCCTTGTACCACAACTGCTAGATAGCTTACCAAGCTTGCTTAGCCAAAAAAATGGATAATCAGTTAAATAATCAAAATAGTTAGGATCCACTCACACACATCACTTACATAATATCTTGACCATCCATCTCTCCACTATGAATGGTTGAGATTTCTCATGACATTTTAGGTGAAAAAATAATTATCTTTTAAAAATAGGATAAAAGGTGAATAAATCTCAACCATTCAAAGTGATGAGGTGAATGGTCAAGATTTTGTATAAGTAATGTGTGTAAGTGGATCTTGACTCAAATAAAAAATATTAATTATAAAGCAAGAAAGCCCTGCATATATTTGGGTTTCACTTCTAAACATGGAAGACCATCTTTGTGCACTGAAAATATTAGATTCCAGGTGGAACAGGCCAGAAAGTCAATGGAAAGCACTGCACAGGTAACTTCACTTGATCCTTAAAATACTAAGACTAATGAAGCTGGTGGGCAAAGCACAAGCAACAGACCAACTACTTTGATTTGCCTAAAGGTTTCCTTCTAACCTTTTTTATTGGAGATAGGAAAAAGGCACATTGGCAAAAGCATTATTAGCAGGCTCAAACCCATTAACAGTCTTCCGCTAGCTATGATCCACTAGTCATGCTTGTTAGATAAATAGAAGCATGAAATTAGTTGATACCTTCACGCTGCTGGTTATGGAGGAAGCATTTACAACAGGAGGCCAAAAACCATATTCAGCCAATAGCCCAAGCATGGATGATGTAAAGATGTATCTCTCATCCTCTACAACCTGAAGAAAATGTAACACCTTAAAAAAAGAAGGATAAAAGAAAAGTTGCAATTTATAAATGAAGCAAGACATAGAAGAACATATGGGGGGGGGGGAAGAAAAAGGGAGAAAAACAGATAATAATCATTGTGAAAAAAAAGGCTAGAACATACCTAAATAGTTCAAGAGGACACTTGGAAAAGAATTTACTTTTTAAAAATATGCTAATATCAGAAATTTAAGGAAAAAAATATTGATACATGTAATAACATCCAATAGTTGTTTAAAGATCATGGTGCTAAAACATTTCAACCCTATGGAATGGGTGAAATTATCCAGCCAAGCAGAACGCCAACTTTGGAAAAAGGCCATACATAGATTAGTTAACAGATTTTGACTTCTGCAACCCATTTATAGATAAGTAGTGAAAACTCAAAGTTCAATAGGACAGTACTTGAATAGCACTAAATAGTCTTTCAGGCCAATTTTTCCATAGCCCTTCACCAGTCATGGTATGGATAACGAGTCAGTGATATTGGAGGCAAATTTATTGCTATTCTCATAACAGGAAGTATGCTTTACCTTCAAATCATGGACCAGTTTAAAGTTTCCTTCAAGATCACCTTTTCTGTGAGCCAATTCATTTGATGCAGAAATTATGGCTTCATTTTGTTTCTCATCAATTGCCTGCCACTCAAAATGATATTATTTCAAAATTAGTTACACAATGAGAATTAATGTCTTAAAAAGAAGAGAAAGGACGACAGAGAGTAGGCCAACAAACCATCCGCAAGTCAGAGAATTTCCTTTCCAGTGCACATTTCTCATTCAGCAGCTGAAGTTCCTGATACCGTACAAATCAATCACATATCCTAACATGTCAAAAATAAAAAGATAAAACTGACTAATATTTTCTGAGCATATGCAAACAATGTGTGACAAACCTTCAAACAAGCAACAGTAATTTGTTCGCGAAGATAATGAATCTCGTCTTCCTGTGCTCTAGCTTGCAAATAATGTCCCTGCTCATAAATATGTCTATTATAAGGGAATCATATGAAGCTTCATTGTGAACCAGGAATAAAATTCTGAAATTCTAGAGAACCCTACCATATCCTCTTGATCTTGAACATAACTGAAATTCCCATCATCTTTCAATTTCCTTACAGAAATATTCATTCCAGAATTATTCACACTAAACCAAGAAAATTTACATCAAATCAATAACACTATATATAACTGTTTAGTTTCAGGGGGGAAAAAATGCTTTTATAAGAATCTTAGCATGACATCTTTTCCTCGTAGCCATAATTTAGGCAGTACCTAAATAAAAAATTTGAGCCCTGCTTCTGATGCCCATCCATTTCAAACCCATGCATAGATTGCTCCTCATAAGACATTGCTTGGTTCTAGGTCATGTTCAAAACAGCCTCTGCTTACGCCGCAGTTAACATTTTACCTCACATTCAAATCTTACATTGTCCCTCATTTTATCCGCTGTTTCATATATGAATGTTCAAAAGGTACTAAGTATTTTCATAATATGATTATCGCTTCCAGAAGCTGTAAAACAATTACTGATGAACAATCAAGAGTAGACAGCCAACTGGGGGAATAGTGCTGAATGAAGCCAATCATTTCATCAATAGAAAAAGATTTCCATTCAAATTGAAGTTGTTTCTGAAATACCAAAGGGACCACATTGTAGCAGCACAGGTGCTTCAAGAAACAACTGAAAATGGGTTTTTGTTTTTAGGAAAAGAAATTAAAACAAAATGCATTGCAAAACAAATTGATAATCTTGAAAAATAACATTTTCTTCCCATGGAAGAAAGGAAAAAAGAAAAAGAAAAAAGAAAAGACACTTCATAATTTAACTATCATGAGCTCTTAGGAAAGACAGAATTATATACAGAGACTCCACAACATTAAGTGCATTTCATTACTTTATAAGAAGTTCAAGCTTGCATATCCTTCATCCATGCACTGGAAACCCAGCAACCGCAACAAACTTGTTAAGCAAGTGCCTTGACAAAACAGTCCCATGCCGCAAAAATCAAGAGATAAATCATGATGCAACCCCATTTTAGCAACTACCCAAAGATTCCATGCATATTAAGGAAATCTCAAAGTGATCAATTATGGGAAAATATAATATGCGTGGATGCTTTTTAATCAAGGGGAACACATAAGATTAGATGACCAAACTCTTAATTCAAAAGGTAAAATTAAGCTTTGAAGTGAAGAAAATGTGCTCTTAAGTTAAGCCTAGAGCAATAAAGTGGTCACTGATTGAACCAAGTCTTTGGACACAAATTTTACACCTAAATAATCAAATATATGTATATATTTATATATATTCAAAGCCAAGTAAGTGTGCTCGAATTCCCTCCTATCTCATTTAGTTCCAATTTTTCTCCCAGCCAACTAAGCTTAAAAAAACAGCTGACAAGCCAATATTGAGCTTGAATTAACCTGAATTCTAGGCCTAGCTATTGCCAAATCACATTGGTGAAAAGTTACCTCAAGATTCCTACGTACTAAACATCATAAAGATGAAGAGCGTGGCAATCACCTGTATAATCATGCTAAGAATGCGGTGAGCTAATTCTTGAGACACCAAGATTTGAAATCTCATAATCACGGAGCAATAATAAAAGAAAGAATTCAGTTAATCCATAAAACCAAACCTAATTCAAGTAGTACTATAAACAATAATTCACATCCAAAATAAGCAAATCCCTCAAAATATATTCAGCACCGCATCCAATCACCGGAATATAGAATCCAAGAAAAAGTAAACGTAGTAAGAGAAAACCGTTTGGTTTCCCAGAAAATCAAGAAAAAGCTCTTCACCGAGAAAAATAACTCGCAGTAAGACTCAATCAATCTTCCGATGCAAGAATTGATTAAAAAGATAGCTAGTAATTGAATCTTTACCATGATGGAGTTTGCAGAAACTGAAATTGGAGTTTCGCAGATCTGTTGATTCCAATCACACTAGAGTCGAGAGAGAGGAAATGGCTGTTAGTTAGAGTCAAGCTTTGGTCGTTGGGAATTTTGTTTTAGAATTAAAAAGCGAGCGAGGCTGCCGGACTAGAAATTGAAAATGAGAGTTGGCTATGCTTGGTCGTTGCGCGTTGCTTTTATTTTTATTTATTTATTATAATTATTATTTTTTTCTTTTTTGCCGTGTTGTTGTGCATTGTTATTGTTAATCTTATGGTACGTAGACCACTTGAAAACATGAAAAAATAGTGATATATGAATAATTTTATATATTATTTTTTATATAATTTTTATATATTAGTAAATACTTTAATATATTTAATATTATAAATTTTACCTCAATAAAAAAATTAATTATTTAAATTATATATAAAGTTAGATGAAAAAAATTATCTTTAAATTATTTTTCACTTAAAAAATACTCATTTAAAAATTTTATTTTTTA